ATCTGTGCCTTGCCACAGTTCTGTCTCTGAGCTCTTCAGGCAGTTCCTTTGACCTCATGATTCTCATTTGCTCTGACATGCAGTGTGAGCTGTAGGGTCTTATATAGACAGGTGGGTGGCTTTCCTAATCACGGTCAATCAGTATAATCAAACACAGCTGGACTCAAATGAAGGTGTAGAACCATCTCAGGGATGATCAGAAGAAATGGACAGCACCTAAGTTAAATATATGAGTGTCACAGCAAAGGGTCTGAATACTTATGACCATGTGATATTTCAGTTTTTCTTTTTTAATAAATCTGCAATAATGTCAAAAATTTTGTGTTTTTCTGTCAATATGGGGTGCTGTGTGTACATTAATGAGGAAAAAAATGAACTTAAGTGATTTTAGCATATGGCTGGAATATAACAAAGAGTGAAAAATTTAAGGGGGTCTGAATACTTTCTGTACCCACTGTATAAATGGGTCTGACCTTGACATGCAGTGCAACCCTTCTTCAGCTGCCAGTCCACTCCTAACTAATGGCTGCTGGCAGTTCAGAGAAGCTGACGCCTTGTAGACATGCAGACGTTCATCTTTGATCTGTCACATCAAAGTTTCCAGTCTAGATCTAGTTGCCTGTTTCTTTTGTTTTTTTGGGGGGTGGGGGTTTGCTGTCAAGCTGCCCTATCTGACAGCAGCCATCTATTTTTACAGCTGCCATCTTTATTCTTCTTATTCCAGTCAGCCTAATATCTTTCTAAGAATATGTGCCGCCAATAGGCCGGTCTTTTCCCAGCTGAATGAATCTCATATTTTCCTGTTTTACAGGATTCCCCCCTTTTTTTTCTTTTTTTTTTTAAATGTGGAAATTTGTGGTTCTTGGTTTGTGTAATGCTATAAGCTACATTTTGAATGTGCAAACCATCTCCAGGGGCTGAGAGATTTTCATATTGTCAACTTCAGGCTGGCTAATTTGAAAGTAGCACCACGCGAGTTTTCATGTGTTAATATTAAACCTCTGCATAAAAAGCAAAACCCTCCAACTGAGGATTCTTTTTGGAAGAGTTAATGTTCCAGGTCCCGTGGCCCTGTATATAAAAAGAATGACACCCACACACAAAGTCATGAGCTTGCGACAGATACAGTAGCTTAGTAACAGTTCAGACAGGGCCCAGATACCACAGATGGGTGGGGGAACAAGTGAAAAGCAAATAGGTATTCTTTCTAAGAGGTGTTGACAGATCAGAGATGATGGTTGCATGTGTGTGTTAACTCAAGTGTGTGTGGGAGTTGGGTGCTGCACCTGTGTGTGTTTATTGGAGCTGATGTGTGAGAGGTTTCTCATCTGAGAGGATTGACTGTGCCATTATGGTGGCGGTGCTGTTGTCTGAAACCCATTAGTGACGCTACAGTCGCTGCAGTGTGGACCCCCATCCCAGCAGCGTCGTCTGTCACTGCAAGATGGATTACCTTGCCACACTGGCACGCTACATCTTACAGCCTTGCTGTACGTGCTCTTCTGTGTGTATTTGTTTTTGAGCAATAAGGTTAAAATTATAAACGGTAAATGTTCTGTGCTTTGATTTAAAAGAATCAGCTACTTGTTAAAAGTGGGAGTGGTGTTTTAGTGCCGTGGGTATGTTTCTGGGATATACTGTATTGTCATCTCTTGGAAGCAGTTCTGTCAGTGTTTAAAACAGCAGTCTCCAACCTTTTTACTCAGAGAGCTGCTTTGAAATAAATGAAAGCAGCTGAGAGCTACCCATGTTTTATATTATGCTACTAGCTACATTTATTCATATATTCTATCAAAACTTTTGAACAGATCTCTAAACAAAACCAATTGAATAACCCAATTGTTTTGTGTGTTATCAAATATTAATATCCAGCACATTTTGTATCAAAAGCATGAGCAACATCAGTTATCACATCATGTGGCCAAGCTCACACACACCTCCTTTCACATATCTAAACCTTATTTATAGATTACATGTACTGTATGTGTTGTAAAAACTGTGGAAAGTTTGGCAACACATCCAATGGTACGTAGCAAACAGCAACTGCTAATAGCAAATTTGGTGTGGGGTTAAGGTCCCACCCCATGAAAGCAAACTACTGCTCTGATTCTTCAGCTGAAACAATACTGCAGGATAAAATCTAATTATTTTTTGCAGTTCAGTTGTGCATGGGTATTCATGCATGTCTACATTTTAAGGAACAGCATACTAATACTAGGTAGCCAAAACGGTAATTTTTGCAGATCTGTCGGGTGTGCATTCATGCTGCTTGTCTCCTTTTCTACCACATCCCAGAGGGATGGGAGACCTAAAAATTCTTTCACTCTGACATTTAGACATATTCACAGGCAAAGGCATCAAGACATTAAGAAGCAGGCATGTAGGAAGGTCAGAGGTTATGAGAAGATCACCTCCAGGCTCTCAGTGGACACTGATAAGAGATAAGGGCCATTCACTTAACAGGACCAAGTCATGAGGTCAGCTGTTAGTTCCTTCTCATCACATCACACCACACACAACTCTGGAATTGTTGTCTACTGCGGGACATGATGGGAAGGCACAGATTCTGGCAGCTTTTCTGTTAGTTTGACAGATTGTAATGGATACTTAATTTAGACTAGACACCACATTTGTTTTAAGATTTATTACCTATATCAGATAAAGTAGAAGAATAAAATTTGTTGTCTACCCATTCTATTTAACACATACATCTTCTGTTTGTCTTCATGCCATGGTTTCGCTTGTTGGTTATTGTTTGTATTTACATTGTATAATATTTTGCCTGTACAATCTGTAAATGTATAAACATTTCTGTCCAGTATCTTGTTGATAGGAAGTGGCACGAGTGCGAAATCTTTGCACAGTGTTTGCCACATACAAAACTGAAAGGAAATCGGAACATAAGGTATATTTGAGTTTGTGTATTTTCTCTGACAAAGTAAACATGGGCTAACAATAAACAAGTAAAACTTAGATAATTAAGCTAACATCATATTTAATGTGACAAAATTTATGGAGGTACAGGCACTTGAAATGCCACTAATGAATGGGCTGTATCTACAATTCAGGCTTTATATAAACAATGAGTCAAATTACTTTAATATTAATGGATTGCTAGTGAAGACCCAGTGAAGAATTCTCACATTTCAGTTACCCATTTCTCTCACCAGGCTGCTTTTTTCATCATAAAAACTTTTAGAAAGCCCAACATACACAGTCTGTCCAGCACCAAACAGCTAGTGGAGCATTTGCTATAGTTGCAACAAATCCCGATTTGTTTCCCCAGAGCTAGTGGAGACCAAAGGAGAGTGCTTAGCTTATTTTGAAATCTCTCAAGTGCTCACACATTCAGTAATGTAGCTTTAACAGAGAAAATAGGTGGGAGAGAACCTATACATTTTATTTGAGCATTACTGTAGTTCACACAAGCACAGAAGTCGGTTTCAAAGCTCACATTTTACACACAAAGCCTGAGAATGTTATGTATCTCTGTGTGGTTTTCAGATCAGGATGGGGCTGAGCCCAGTGCTAACTCAGTATCAGCATCCAATCTCCTGCGTTTGTCCCAATACACTGGAAGACAGGAGTGGCTCCAGAGGTCCCAGCAGCTGCTCGCAGCCTTCTCTGACCGCCTGAGCAGAGTTCCCATAGCCCTGCCTGAAATGGTCCGGGCTCTTATGGCCCAGCACTACACTCTTAAACAGGTTGTTCTCACATCCAGTCACATGCATACAATCCAAGTTCAGGTACCAGAGGAAGTTACATGTGTTTAAATGTAGGCATCAAGCTTCCAGGTTCTTTTTCCAGGATTATGCAGCTAATAATTCAGACATATAGTCTCCTGGTGTGCTGTGTTGGCCATTACAACTGTACTCTGTCATTCTTGTTGACGTAGTAGGCAAAGCTGTGTATAGAGTATGTGTAGAAATAGGCCTTGAATGTCTGTATTTTTTTAGCTTATCTTACATCTGCAGTAGGGGGAAGCAAGGATCACCATGATTAAAAACCTGTTCAAGTGTCTTCTTATACAAGCAACTATTATATCTATCCATGTTTTTTTTTTTACCTAGATCTGGACACACTGACTCTCAAAATGCAATTTTTTTTCTCTATTTTTTTTTAACAGGCGTCATGCATTTAATGAGCTGTTTGAGCAGTTCAGCGTCAGTTATACAGTTGCATTTAAAATATTAACACAGTTAGTCTGCAGAAAGTTAAACCTGCATAACAGCAGAGCATGGCTGCAGTTACCCCAAAGATGGTCACTAAGAAAACTTTTATTGTGAAGGCCTGTGTGTTGTAGAATCAGAGGAACAGAGAAGGAAATAACATGATTAGAAACAGAGGGAGGAGGGGATACTCATACATGATCTGCAAAGGAAGAATAGGGGTGAGGGGGTGCGGGTAACAAGCTCAGGGGTGAGGTGAGGTAAGGCAGTCACTGTTACTGCTACAAATACAGTATTCACCTCTATTACTTCCTCCACTCCCTTCTCCCTGTTATTTCACTCTGTTCACACTTGTTCATCTCATCATCTTTCTGTCCTCTCCCTTAGTTCCTTTTTCTCTTCTGCTTTTGTTTTTGGTTTTAGATTGTGATCTGTGGCCAGAGGGGTGCTCCGGACACCACAAGTCTTCTTGCAGCAGTCAACTCCCTCTTCCTCCCATATAAGGTAAGTCTTCTAGATCCCGTGTGTGTCTTTGTGTGAGAGAGTGATTCAGCATCTTGACAGACTCATCAGGACAAATGTGTCATGGATCCTCAAGCAAACCTGAGAGGCAAAGATCAACTAGGAGCGCACAGACATGGATTGGTTTACTCCAATATCAGTACAGACTCACAGTAACCTGTGAAATGAGAACTCACAAAAACACATCGACCTAGAATAGTGCCTGGAGCGTTGGCTGGTTTAACTGTGGTTTTTTAAATGTCAGCCTGAGCTCTGCTCAGCTCCTCAGTGTATTAACTTCCCAGTTATCTCTTTACAATAGGCATGAATTGACCTTAAAGATGTTTCCTAACATCTACAGTAAGTGATTCTCTGTGTATATGAGTGTTTTGTATGAGTCTTCCTGACTGCCCTGACACAGGCTGTTTATGAATTGGACAGCTTTCAGTCTGAGTCAGTCTTAAATTCAATATGGTCTACCAACATTTCTGTTTCCTATGGCCTTGTTTCTAAATACTGTAGGTTCACCCTTGAACTTTAAGAGAATTCTCTGCGTTCCTTTTTATATGTATAACAGTTTAACATGTAGGCTATAAACCCATAGTTAATTGATTTTATGCTCTACAGGTGCATTAAGATTTTACTCTTTGTCTGATAAACCAAATGAAAATGGGATAGGATGTGGTGTCTCTTACCTTTTTTTTTACCCCCCTCAATGACACTTTGCTGTCGGTTTGCAAATTAGCTCCGCCTGCCACCTAGTGAAGGTTATAATAAGCATTTTTCAAACCGTGAGTAGTCATTTCAAACAACCAGCCACAAAGAACCACTTGTCTGCTAAAAGTCCAAGGTGGTGGCTGACAGACCAAAGGGGGTCATATTCTTTTGCACAGAACAGAGAAGGAGACAAAGAAAGAGCAAAACCCAGGGTCAGCATTGTTGTTTGCTTGCTTACTTTACATTACTGTGCTTTGCTTTGCATACTGGGTGATAACTGAAACAAAACACGCTTGCACACATCTACATCTTCACCGTTCCTGTTGTCTGAGAGCCCTCACTGAGTTCTGTTTATTGGCCCACTCCATAACCAAAATTAGATCAGTAAATTAAAGCAGTAATTGTCGAGTGACACACTCACATTTTTCTTGATCAACTTCACTATAGTATTTCTCCTTCTCACACACACACACACACACACACACACACACAGAGAGGCATGTATGTAGTGTTTCCATCACTTCAGGGGACATTATACTGACATATATTCATTTCTTGGAGACTTAACCCTAATCACACCCTAACCTCAAACCAATAAAATGTCATGATTTACATTTTGGGGACTTGCTTTTTTGGCACCATCAAGTTTCCACAGTCTCCACAGTGTGACTGTATAAACAGATTTATGTCCACACAACATGAGTAACACCAGGCCACATACACACACAAACAAACACGCATTCGTTCAGCAGAGCCCTGTTGAAATATAGATAAGTTGTGCAGTAGCAGGCGGTGGCTGCAGTAACATCAGGCCATTTCAGATCCCTGCAGAGGCACAGGGACAAGAGACTGAGCCAGATAGAGCTGTTATCAGGATGAATCTATTACTATGTAAGTTTTGTACTATCCAGCTGGGAGCAGTGCAATACTGGGCAGTCAGGTTAATCAGATGGGATTCTCAGATTAGTAGTAGTTTATAAGTTAAAGAAATAGCAGAAATGGTGGGGGTATAGGGATCTTTTAGCATGTTCTCAGCATTTTTATATTATTGTTTCTAATGTAACTTTTTAAAATTAATGTTCCAGTTGTTAAACTTGACTGTTTTGGCATCTGTTTTCCTGTGAAACCTGCAGTTACCTTATACAGTCAAGTGTTTCTGGGTCAGCACTCTTTCATTTGATTAAGACTTCTTCTATGTAATTAACATAATCTAAATAGCCATTTTATGCATTAAATTAAATTGAGAAATTCAGGGGGAGATTGGAAAGGATAATAAGACAGAGAAGGGAGAGTAGCTCCAGATGTTGTGAGAACAGCCAGCCATCAGTGGCAGCAACAGCTCTGCTAGCCAGGCTGAGATGTGATGATCCAGCAACACTAAACACATACACACACAGAGTGTCATTTTCTGGCAAGAGATACCACCCCCTCCCAGAGGAATAACACTGCTGTGTGCAGCAACTGTGAGATGCACTCTCTCATATACACACATCAGCAGGTACACACACTTTCTGTGATGCTGTGTCCACCAGCATATGCCAGAGACCTTTCCCACAGCTGTCAGATGCAAAATATAAACACATTCTGGAACATATGCACACATGCATATGCAAATCAAACAGCGCATGTAGTTACAAGATGTCACATGTATATGTTGTGAACACAGAGATTTTACTGATGAGGTTAACAAAAGGCAGGGGGGAGAACAATGGTGAGGACACAATTATATGATTGACAGTTTTGATAAACTGACTTTATGATTTTTAGACCTGCCTCCCTGTTTTAGCATTAGCTATTTACCATGCTAAATTCTTATACATTTTGGAAACAGTAGGTCCTTGGTTTAAGAAATAGGTGTAGCTGGTGTTTTTATGTTCTTAAATGTCATCTGTCATGAGTAAGTAGTTGGCTAACTAGTGAAGCTAACTTTAGCTTCATGAGTTGGTTGAAAACACTTACTGACTGACTTTTAATGTTTCCAGTTACTGTTAAGTTGTTTTTTCACCCATTATTGACTTTTAGGCAAGAAGAAAACAGGATATACAAGTGAGTCTTGTACAACTCTGAACTAGTAGGCTAAAGCCTTTTTCAGACATTCATGGAACCCTGAAATTCTGTAGACATTACCCTGGGAAGCTGTATGTGAGAACACAAATGAGTGCAAGGGCAGAGTGCGCACAAGTAAGAAGTTGGTTTGACAGGCAGGCCATTCAGTGGTTTTGCTCAGGCCAAAAAAGTTATTGGTCAGGATTTTTCAGCCCTGCTGATGCCACAGATGTCAGATGATTTTTCTTTGTGTTGTAATTTTTTTTCTTGATTAATTGAGTATTCATTATGCCTATTATATATATGAAAATAGAGAAATGCCTATCACACTGTCTTAACACTTTGACGTAGAGTATTTATACATTTTACCCAGTCAACAGTTCAGTACACAGGTTACCATCAAGTTTACCATCACAGAGTAAACCAGCAAGTATTCACATTTTAGAAGTTAGAAGTGACTTGATTGGAAAATCATTTACCAAAGTTGTTAAGGAGTATTATTGTCATTGTCATCATCACCATTTTTACTGTCATTATTGGCAGTTGTTGCTCTGTGTTTCCAATGTCATAACTCATTTTACTTCTCATGAGCATGTGTCTGACCAGTGAAAACCCTGTGTTTCCTATTTGTCAGCTTAGACTGCAGTAGCGCTTTCTCATTTTTAGGTTTTAATATTGGTGCAAGCAAGCCTTAGTCTTCCCATGGTTTCTTTGACACACTTCTCTAAACTCTCTCTACTCTCTCTTTATTTTACACTGTCCAGTATCATCCATGTCAGTGTCATAATCTTGGCTTGACAGGTGTTCAAGGCACACTGGGAATGTAGAGAAGTAAAGGTTTGCCACAGAGTGCGAAATGGCTCTGCCTTGACTGACTCAGAACATGTTTACTGTTAATGATGGCTCCATTAAAATAAGGCTTCATTTACTTGTGGAGTCTTTTCTGAGATTTCTGAGAATGTTTTACAAGGACTGTAATTCCCAGAATGATTTCGCATCACTGTTTGTCTGAATGCCTGTTGTCAGTGCATTCTTTGCCACAAAGTGCTATCCAAGTACAGTTAGGCTTTGTGTTACACTGTTAGAGTAAGATAGTCACAGAGAGCAGTCAGCTGTACTGGCTCTCCCTGGAGGCCATTTAAGTAAGGAAAGTGAGTGGATGCAATAGGGAAAGGGAATTACAGGAATTCTATTGGATTTTAAAAACAAGAGGTGTACTGTAAGCATTCTTGCAGGGAGATAAGAAGTAAGTAGACAAGTTTCCCATTTATTCCTATTTCTTCATCTGTCCTTTCCCTAAAGAGAATGAAAAGAGCAGAGCAGAGTGGAACAGAGGGGTGAAGGGGGGAGGAGCATGGTTTTTAAGAGACCAGAAGGTCCTATTTGAAAGCATGTGCAGGAAAATGGCTGAGAATCCCTAACAAGACCTCAGAGACGTGGGAAGAGTTAGCAGGGTGACAGTGAGTGCAAGCAGAGACAGAAAATGAAGGTGACAGGTGGCGATGGAGAACCTAGTCAGAGGCTAACTAGCCCTGCTAACAACACAGTGAAGTGGAGGACAGTCTGCCAATCCTGTGACCTCTTTCCTCCCTTGCTTCAGTCTGCTTTCTTGTTACCCTTCCACTCCATCCTCCCCTCCATCGCAGTCCCTCTTTTGACTCATCAAGGCTTGTAGCTGTGTGACTGTGTGTATGTATTATTGTGTGCTAGCAGCTGATTCTTCTGTTCTCTTTTTAATGGCCTGCTAAGTCCAGTAACCAGTCAGAGAGCAGAGCACCGTGTGACGTGACTGACAACTGTGGGAAAGGTCTCGGTTAGTTCCTGTTGCAGGAAGGTGTTCTCCATGCAGACTGTAATGCATTCAGATAACCACTGATTGTTTTTCTCCGGTTCTGTTTTTTGTCACACCATCATGCTTTCACATAGGCACTGACATTCATTTCACTCCTGTCTTCCCAGATTTGTTAAAATGAACACACACCTCCACTGAGTGCCTTTTCCCCCTCCTAGTAATTCCACCAGTAGATCCATAAGGCTGTGAAGTAGGTGTGTGTACACTGTGGATCCAGCAGAGAGAGGACAGACTCAGTGGTGGTGTCTGAGATTGTCCACACTTATCTGCATCTCAGCCTGGTAAATAAAACTCACGTTGCACAGATTAGACGCCCATGTGTGACCATGCCTTTTCTCTCACACACACACACACACACACACTGAGCCCATGTGTTTTCCTCAGTCTG